GCGTGTCGCCAGTCCGGCCCGGCCCGTTCCTGCTCCTTGCATCAAGTCAGTGGTGCGTGTTCCCAGTCCGGCCCGGCCTGTTCCTGCTCCTCGCACCAAGCCAGTGGTGCGTGTCGCCAGTCCGGCCCGGCCCGTTCCTGCTCCTCGCACCAAGCCAGTGGTGCATGTTCCCAGTCCGGCCCGGCCCGTTCCTGCTCCTCGCACCAGACCAGTGGTGCGTGTCTCCAGTCCGGCCAGGCCCGTGCCTGCTCCTCGCACCAAGCCAGTGGTGCGTGTTCCCAGTCCGGCCCAGCCCGTTCCTGCTCCTCGCACCAAGCCAGTGGTGCATGTTCCCAGTCCGGCCCGGCCTGTTCCTGCTCCTCGCACCAAGCCAGTGGTGCGTGTTGCCAGTCCGGCCCGGCCCGTTCCTGCTCCTTGCACAAAGGCAGTGGTGCGTGTCGCCAGTCCGGCCCGGCCCGTTCCTGCTCCTTGCACAAAGCCAGTGGGTCGTGTTCCCAGTCCGGCCCGGCCTGTTCCTGCTCCTCGCAACAAGCCAGTGGTGCGTGTCGCCAGTCCGGCCCGGCCCGTTCCTGCTCCTCGCACCAAGCCAGTGGTGCGTGTCGCCAGACTGGCCCGGCCCGTTCCTGCTCCTCGCACCAAGCCAGTGGTGCGTGTCCCCAGTCCGGCCCGGCCCGTTCCTGCTCCTCGCACCAAGCCAGTGGTGCGTGTCACCAGACTGGCCCGGCCCGTTCCTGCTCCTCGCACCAAGCCAGTGGTGCGTGTCCCCAGTCCGGCCCGGCCCGTTCCTGCTCCTCGCACCAGACCAGTGGTGCGTGTCTCCAGTCCGGCCCGGCCCGTGCCTGCTCCTCGCACCAAGCCAGTGGTGCTTGTTCCCAGTCCGGCTCGGCCTGTTCCTGCTCCTTGCATCAAGTCAGTGGTGCGTGTTCCCAGTCCGGCCCGGCCTGTTCCTGCTCCTCGCACCAAGCCAGTGGTGCGTGTCGCCAGTCCGGCCCGGCCCGTTCCTGCTCCTCGCACCAAGCCAGTGGTGCATGTTCCCAGTCCGGCCCGGCCCGTTCCTGCTCCTCGCACCAGACCAGTGGTGCGTGTCTCCAGTCCGGCCAGGCCCGTGCCTGCTCCTCGCACCAAGCCAGTGGTGCGTGTTCCCAGTCCGGCCCAGCCCGTTCCTGCTCCTCGCACCAAGCCAGTGGTGCATGTTCCCAGTCCGGCCCGGCCTGTTCCTGCTCCTCGCACCAAGCCAGTGGTGCGTGTTGCCAGTCCGGCCCGGCCCGTTCCTGCTCCTTGCACAAAGGCAGTGGTGCGTGTCGCCAGTCCGGCCCGGCCCGTTCCTGCTCCTTGCACAAAGCCATGGGTCGTGTTCCCAGTCCGGCCCGGCCTGTTCCTGCTCCTCGCAACAAGCCAGTGGTGCGTGTCGCCAGTCCGGCCCGGCCCGTTCCTGCTCCTCGCACCAAGCCAGTGGTGCGTGTCGCCAGACTGGCCCGGCCCGTTCCTGCTCCTCGCACCAAGCCAGTGGTGCGTGTCCCCAGTCCGGCCCGGCCCGTTCCTGCTCCTCGCACCAAGCCAGTGGTGCGTGTCACCAGACTGGCCCGGCCCGTTCCTGCTCCTCGCACCAAGCCAGTGGTGCGTGTCCCCAGTCCGGCCCGGCCCGTTCCTGCTCCTCGCACCAGACCAGTGGTGCGTGTCTCCAGTCCGGCCCGGCCCGTGCCTGCTCCTCGCACCAAGCCAGTGGTGCTTGTTCCCAGTCCGGCTCGGCCTGTTCCTGCTCCTCGCACCAAGCCAGTGGTGCGTGTTCCCAGTCCGGCCTGGCACGTTCCTGCTCCTCGCACCAAGCCAGTGGTGCGTGTTCCCAGTCCGGCCCGGCCTGTTCCTGCTCCTCGCACCAAGCCAGTGGTGCGTGTCGCCAGTCCGGCCCGGCCCGTTCCTGCTCCTCGCTCCAAGCCAGTGGTGCGTGTTCCCAGTCCGGTCCGGCCCGTTCCTGCTCCTCACACCAGGCCAGTGGTGCGTGTTCCCAGTTCGGCCCGGCCTGTTCCTGCTCCTCGCACCAAGCCAGTGGTGCGTGTCGCCAGTCCGGCCCGGCCCGTTCCTGCTCCTCGCACCAAGCCAGTGGTGCGTGTTCCCAGTCCGGCCCGGCCTGTTCCTGCTCCTCGCACCAAGCCAGTGGGGTGTGTGTCCAGTCCGGCACGGCCCGTGCCCGTTCCACCGGTGTCTGGTCCTGCACCGGTCAGCTGCTCCACTCCGGAGCCAAAGCAGTCCGCTCCACCGGTGCCTTATCCAGCTCCGGTCAGCAACTCCACTCCGGAGCCAGAGCAATCCGCTCCACCGGGGTCCAGTCCAGCTCCGGTCAGCGGCTCCACTCCGGAGCCAGAGCCAGCTCCGGTCAGCTGCTCCACTCCGGAGCCAGAGTAGTCCGCTCCACCGGGGTCTAGTCCAGCTCCGGTCAGCGGCTCCACTCCGGAGCCAGAGCAGTCCGCTCCACCGGTGCCTAGTCCAGCTCCGGTCAGCGGCTCCGCCGGTGCCCAGTCCAGCTCCGGTCAGCGGCTCCAGTCCGGAGCCTGAGCGGTCTGCTCCACCGGCGCCCGGTCCAGCTCCGGTCAGCGGTTTCAGTCCAGACCCAGACGTCAGCCCCTCTCCAGGTTTGGGGTCTCTCACACCAGGGTCCAGACAGGGCTTGGAGTATCGTGGGAGGAAGGAGAGGGGAAGCAGCGCGCCGAGGTCCAGACCAGACCAGGGGCGCAATAGGTAGGCGGAGAGTATGTGGTTGTCACGCCCGGAGCCGGATCCGCCTCCGAGGCGGAATGCCCACCCGGCCCCTACCCTGTTATGTAAAGGTTGTGCGGTTGGAGTCCGCACCTTTGGGGGGGGTACTGTCACCACTTGACTCAGGGGACTCTTATATGTTGAGTCAGGGTGGGTATATTCTATGTTGTGTTTTCTATGTTGCAGTCTAGGTGTTGTATATCTATGTTTGGCCGGGTGTGATTCCCAATCAGAGACAGGTGTCTCTCGTTGTCTCTGATTGGGGATCATACTTAGGCAGCCTGTTTGAATCATTAGTTGTGGGATCTTGTTCCGTGTTAGAGGCTTGTTTTGTGTGTAGCCTTAGGACTTCACGTTTCATTGGTTTGTTGTTTTGTCATGTGTTTATCAGTTAAATAAACATGCCCTAAGCAGACAAATCTTGCTTAGGGCCCCTGCCCTTACTGCAGTGGCACATAGCTAAATCATTTGTTCCTCACCCATTCCCATTCACAGTTTATGCTATAAGGCAGGGATCATCAACTAGATTCAGGCACCGGACAATTTTTTTATTGAGCGGATGGTCAGGAGGCCGGAACATAATTACTAATAATTTGTAAACTGCAAATCAACCAGCCCTAACAGATATAATATTTGACTAAAACATAATCATTTCAAAACTTGCTTATATTTGTATATGATCACATATCTCTATATTATGCATGGCAATACTTTGGAAAAGATTTCCACAATGAAAATCACTTGGAGCTGATTTGCTGGTGTTTTTAGTATTTTATGAGCAAAAATTTCAATAAAAAAATTAAATAAAATCACCTACAGGCAGCCAGTTGGGGAACCCTGCTATACGGTGTGTGTGTGTGTGTGTGTGTGTGCGTGAGCGTGTGTGTGCGTGTGTGTTGAATCCTGAATCTCTCATGGGGAAAATAAGTCTCAGAGAAGTCTCATTCATGTTTACAAGGTTTCTTTATTATCATCAGTATGTAATAGCATCCAGATTGTCAGGTTATAATGGTTTTGGACAGGTAATAGCGAGCAGGTGTGTGGGTTTCTATCTGTTAGGTAGAGAGGCAGCAAATCAAAGCTGTGCTGTGACACAGAGACACACACCACAGAGAAACTGAGAGGTACAGGCTACTGCCCATCACCATGACAACACTGATGGAACAGGAGAGGCCTAGGTAATGTAGAACAGGACAAAGGTCAATAAGACTATCCCAAACATAGAAATAGGATTGATAGAACAGATATGTTGCGTGTGTTAATGTGTAAATTGGCTTATTATTCCAACAATAACATCAGATTTTCTGTATGACGTATCCAATGTGGCAGCAGACATGGCAAATACTGGGTATCTGTTTTATTCAATCTATTTCTCTGCTCTGTGAATCTCTCTCTCTGTCTCCTTGCTGAAGGTTTTAAACACACAGCCCTCTCATTCACTAAGGGTTCATGTAAAGAGGGAGCAGTTGGCAGAATTAAACTTGATTCCTTTATTTTCATTAAGAGGAAATAGTTTAACAGCTCAGAGAAAGCGCTTCAGCTAAAAATATATTTATAATGATAGAAATGGTGATAACAATATCCATAATGTTTCAGGTGAAAGAAAAAGGAAAAAGGCAGAGTGAAAATAAATTATCTGAATAACAATAATAACAACAATAATAATAATGACTTGAATAATATACTGTTTCAAATTAAGCTTTATAAACTTTTTTTTTTCCTTGTTTCTTTTTTTTATTTGTAATGTCCATTAAAAATAGTAGAAGTCCATGAGCAGAAATCCAGCATATATTTATTAAATGGTGTGAAGGGAATTGCTCTGTCTTCGCCCCAAAGCTGTCTTCACCATCCTCGTATCTCACACATTTACAATATTCACAGTTACTACAGACCTGCTCGGCACATACCACTGCAGCAGGACGGGGGCGAGGTGGGAGGGGATGGTATATGCATGGGGGTGGGTGGAGGTGAGGTGTAGTCTATCTCTGTTCTAAGCAGGTACCTAATAGAGAGTAAAATAGCCCACCCCCACCCCACCCATCAGTGGATGCTGCCTGGTTCCCCCATACTCCCCCCCGTACCCTTTACATTCTCTCTATACAGCAAGACAATTAACACAGACACATCAAATGCATGTCTTTAACATTATACACATTGTCCTCAAGCAAGAGGCCTATACGACCCTCAACCCCCATTAGAAAATTTAACAATCCTCACTTCCCCTGTGCCTCCCCGTCCTCCCCAGCTCAGCCCATGGCGGTGACCATGTTGGAGTGGTGGGGGTGGCCGAAGGAGGGGTGTATGGGTGTGGGGGTGGGCAGCATGTGTCCGGCGTGGCTGAAGGGGGGCAGGTGGCCCATGTGGGTCATGTGTCCAGCCAGGGAGGAAGCGCTGAAAGGAGAGGACTTGTCGTGCATGCACTTAGACAGCTCCTCGTAACCGTCGCTGCCCCGCCTGCCCTTCTTGGACTTGTTGGACATCTTGCGGTTGCGTGTCTGGATCCCTTCCTTCTTCATGGTCAGAGGCCGGTTCACCTGTAGGGAGAAGGGGATGGAGGGAGAGATGAGTGACCGGGTTGGGATGGTGCTAAGGGTTTATAATCAACTCAATATGTTTGAATTGAATGGACTATGTACAGGAATAACCATATTATTTATTATGAGAACTCTAGATACAGTTATTTGTCTTTTTTTCTAAATGCAGAAACGGTACGCAGCTTACTCCCTAAACCAAGGCCATATTCAATGTAATACATGGCAATACACCAAGGCTTAAACTTCAACAGTTATGCCTCATTTGAACAGATGCAGTTGGTCTGTCTGAATAACAGTCCCACCATTGTGAGTCTCAAGGGGATGACGCCTACCATGGAAATAATCAAGCACAAAGAAAGAAAACACCAACAGGGCCCAGTGTGTCTAAGGGGCCAAGCTCTGCATCCATCTCTCCATCCCTCCCTCCTTCCCTGTCTCCCTATCCCTCTTTCTTATCCTTTTCCAATAAATTCAACCTTTTCGTCTTCTTGACCTGGCTGGCTACGTGTGGGTAAGGGCTGGCGGTCAGGCTGGCCAGGCTGGCAGCAGTGAAAGACTTACGTTGTGCAGCTTGTAGTAAAGGCCGCAGGCGTTGCACACGGGGTCTCCGTTGCCATTGCGCCTCCACAGTGTGGTGGTGGTCGTCTGACAGTTAGCGCAACAGGTGCCGGCTCGTCTGGCCGCAGACTGGAGGGAAACATGAAGAAAGCCTTTATTAGACCACAACAGCACGGACACATAACACATGAAAGCATAGGTTGGGAATGACATTAGTGCCAGGCGGTATGTATAGTATTTGTATATCAGCTGCCAGGAGCCGAGAAAACATATAATATTCCATGCCGTTTTAGATGGACATTGTTCCTTATAGTTATAGATTTGCATATGATTACAGAAATGAATTCATATTGTGTGATAGTTTATTGCAATGCGTTTCAATAATGACTGAATTATGCAATAAAAAGGTATCCCGTCTTTACATTCCCTGACAGAATATTTATCAAATACACCAAATAGTAACAGGGGTCACTATAAAAGTCATGCTGAATAGATCATATAAGAAAGTAATGGGTTGTCTATATTGGCTACAGTTTTCTACCAGCATGTGAAATATTTTTAATTTCACAGACACAGTAGTACACTGATGAACACTGACTATCAAAGGTCTTCCTCTCAGATGCAAAGCATTGCTATTGAATAGAGATTAGGTAGCGAGGGGGGCCATAGGCCCTCCAGTGTCCAGGCAGCCTGTGCGATCCCCTGCCATTACAGATGGATTCTTCACACTTAATATGAGACATTTACACACATAAAACGTAAGTAGACCCCTACAGCAAAATATGGTAATCTGAACCCTCAACCAGAATAGTGCATGGGCCTACACACCTAAAGATAATCTTAAAACATGCATTAATGCAAAATACCTCTCTAGTGAGTCAAGTAGAAAATTACCCAAATGGTGTCAAAATTGCCCTATATAAACAAACTTCCTAGTAAAGAAGTCTACAAGTCGAGGCTGGAGCCCTAGCCTTGGTCCCACAGGTAGCAGGACATATATCCATTTATTTCACCTCCCCTGCGCGCCCTGCATGCATCTAGCTCTCCATTGCTTGTTTTCTGTGCACATAACGTGTACTTAAATGTTGTGCTAATCGCTTTACTCTATCCTATAAATTGAGGACTGGCCTGCTTGACCACTGCTATAGAAAAGTAAGTGTACTAGCGCGCGACGGACGGAAACACGTGTTGGCCTTGCTTCCTTATCGGTACCGGCAGATATCCGGATAGGAAACGACTGGAAGGCCCCTGCGCGAGCACTGAAAACACGCGAGCTGAAAAGTAGGCTACAAACGCACCCGCTACTGACTAATGGAGAAAAATAACGACTGGATTTTTCAGACAAAGGGAAAATTATGAAACTTTATTATGCTTTTTATGCAGGTTTAAGCTATATTGATTATAGACCAGGTATATGCTTTGGACTTCAAAGTATTTTTCAAGGCCCAAAGATTCATAGCCTAGGCCTAAATGGCGTTTCTGCTTACAATGTAAAACAGCTCAAGTCAAATGTTTCAGAATAATCTAAAAACGGGTCTCTAGACTCTCTAAATAGGCCTACAGTCCAAAATCAAACGGAGTCTCGTCGGTGATGCTTTTTGTATAGCCTGCATTGGCTGATTCAGATCAGTGCAGTCTTTATGCTGTCGGCTGAATGTCAATAGTCTGTCTGCATTTGCCTCAGCCATATCTCCCCCATTCTCTTATCAAGATGCGCACCGGATTATATGATCTCTAGGATGGTCCTTAAACAAACGCAGTCGACATTAAATATGTAGGCCTAAATAATCTATTTGTGTCTCAACTATTAATGCGTTTCAATACTATTATCCGTAACCTTTGATTAATAGATTAATAATCGTATTATGCATCCTGAGACATTTGGGAACCGATTCGTAAATAATTTGAACAGGCGTACGATAATTAGGCATACATCCAAATTCCAAATATGAATTTGCAGAAAATAGGCCCACTGGGCACAGACGTCAATTCAAGGTCTATTCGACGTTGGTTTAACGTAACTTTACTGACGTGTGTTTTATAGTAATGTCTCTATTTCTGCAAACCCCCTATTTATTCAAGAGGGGCGTGGAAAAAATACTCTTGCAAAAATCAACCACGAGTTGCTAGAATATATCAATTATCAAGAGTTTATAAGCCTAGTAGTGAAATTAGCTCAGTGAAATAAAAATGGTTATGGTTATTATTAAATGCTGTTTTACATGATTTCTTCCATTATAATAATTATTAATATAATTATTAATAACGTTATAATTATTATTAATATTATTATCATTAATATTATTATGCTATTGATGTATTAGGCCACATGCAAATAGGTTTACGCCCGCGAACGGTAGACTACTGTGGGCTATTCGAAATGTTACAGGAAATATTCAGATCACAGCTTGAATCGAGAGATTTTGTCATTTATGCATATCATTTTTTAGCTCCACATTTATCTGTCAACAGGGCGTGGAGAATCATATTTCTTTGTTTTTCGTATTTGATGCAAATCTATATCTCATTGGGTCATATCAGTTCCCTCCATTGCAGAGTTTCATAGGTGCCATCTTCATTGCGTGTTTGTTGTTGTTGAGGCCAAGTGCTTTAAAGTCTGGTTAGCTCAGGGCTATAGATAGCTGCTGTTATTTGAAAATAATAGCTTTTAACATTTAACCCCAACAAATGATTGTTTTTATTTTTTGCAATCAATAGAGTCACCAGCACATTAAGTCTGGAAAGACTATTTTCAGTAATGACAACATTTACATAGTCCATTGAACTGCTGTGTGACTGGGCTATATCAGTCTGGATCTGACCTGGCTGCTGCCCTCTGAGGAAAACACAACATTGATGTTGAAATGAGTTCATGATGAGAAGTACACAATGTGATATCAGCCAAGCAGCAAGAAGGCCCAGTCCAGTATTTGGCTAAGAGAAAGACAGAGAGATTTCCATTTACAAGTGTGTTGCACACCAGTCGCATATATTCACTCACAGAGAAAATAAACACACAATGTTTCCTTTCTTCTATTACCTATAAAGTGACTTAATAACACAAAGCGTGCAGTGCACCAGTCGCTCATACAGCCTCCACAGCAGACAGTCACCGTGAGCTGTATAGTGAGGGTTGATAGAGAGGCCTGTGGCTCTGTGGTATCAGTAGCAGTATCAGAAGTAGCAGCAATAATGATAGCAGAAACAACACAGATAGCCGCACTCCGCTAACAGCCTGTGTACGGGAGCAAAGGGGTGAGTGGGAAACACAATTCCCGGAAACTGATTGGGAAAATATAACTTTCCTGGAATCATGGCCCTCCTCGCCCCTCTCCCCCAACCTTGTGCTTTTTTTTGCCCCCTCCCATCTCCGCACTCCACGTGTGTTTGTGTGGGTGGGTGTTTGTGTGGGTGTGTGTGTTTGTGTGGGTGTGTTTGTGTTTGTGTGGGTGTGTGTGTTTGTGTATGTATGTGTGTGTGTGGTTTGGTGGTCCCGGGGTACTCACCAGTCTGCGTTTGGGCTTGATGAGGGGTCGGTTCTGACCGTTCATCTTGTGGTAGAGTCCGCAGGCGTTGCACAAGTAGTGGCCCGTACCATCCCGTCGCCACAGGGGGGTAGAGGTGGCTCCACAGTTGACACACTCACGCCCCTCTGAGCAGCATGCAGGTGGAGAGAGACCACAGGGACATTTATAAAATTAACCTGTCAACTCTAATGACACATTTATCATACATAACAATTATGTAACCTGTAGCAGTGGCATGTACAATTTTGAAAATGTTATGTTAGTTAGTCTGAAAAACTATGCGAGGACTGCATATTTTTATATTAGGTGCACAGAAGCATGGGAAAAGTTTTGAGAATCAATTTTTAGTTTCTAAGTTCTATTCTCTAGTTCTGTTCTTGAATTCCTGTTTATATGAGAAGGCTGTGTATTTTTGGTCTGAAGTTTGTGTGAAAGAGAGTGTGTGTTTAACCCTCTGCAGACTCTTGGAATAACAACATGAAAATGCTGCCGCCAGGCTTTGTTCCATTTGATCTGGTTAAGTTCCTCCCTGTCAGTTTTGGGTCAGTTTTGGGTCAGCTGGGACCCAGGCATGTTTCAGACAGGGGCACCCATACACCCACAGTGAAATGTAGGCTGTCTCTCATGTTTCTCTACATTTTGCTGTGATTGCAATGATTTTCCTCCCCAGATATACAACCTTTAGTGCAGGGTTCCTCAACTGGTGGCCCGCGGGCGGAATTTGGCACACGGGTGGTTTTATTTGGCCCCCAAAGTGTTCTGAGCAAAAAATTAATAAATAATGTTTTTACACAGAAGACTGTAAAAACACCAGGAAATCAGCTCCAAGTGATTTTAATTTAAGAAATCTGTTCCCAAGTATTCCCACGCATAATAGACAGACACTTGATCGTATACAAATGTAAGCAAGGTTTTTGGCAAACACTATATCTGTTTGGGCTTCTTGCAGTCAATTTGGATTCTACAAATTATTTGTAATCATGTTCCGGCCCCCCGACCATCCACTAAAGAAAAAATCGGCCCACGGCTGAATCTAGTTGATGATCCCTGCTTTAGTGGGTGTGAGTCTGTGCGTGCGTGTACATGTGGCAAAGATGGTCTGATGATCAACATCTCCCTGTTCCTCTCTCAGCCTCATCAGCTCATCATTATATAGGCTAAACAATAGCCTGCTCTGACTCACTTTACATCGGAATTCTTAGGAATGATGACCATTCCTTATTGAAAGTAACCTAACCACAGTGCAAACTAAGGTAGTCATTTTGAAATATTTGTGCTGCTTATAATGTGGATCGGATTGTCAGTCTAGACTAGTAGAGGTAATACTAACATACTTGTGGGCCTTTGCCTCTGTTGGTGGCTCCACATAATGCTGAGTATGGACAGCCAGAGAAGGAGGGAGAGAAAAAAGGGGGAGACTGAGATGGAGAGAGAGAGGAAGGGGGCCTGGATTAGGGTTAGTCAAACAGGAAGTGCCTCTAAGGTATGCATGAGTAGGGACTCCACCAGAATAGTGTGATGCTATAGCGTTCTATGGTCCTGCAAGCCACCAATACTTGACATTCCCACAAATAAAAAAATAATAGTAACATGACAGTCTATTCCTGCATGTCAGGGAGAGCCCCTAACACATAAATCTATCAGTGATGAGGATCCACTGCCAAACAACTATCTGGGTCTTGATGATGGAAGTTGTGCCTTTGTCTGAGAATGACCATAATAGCACACTGACAGATGTGGGGTTTTATTTTTAGGACTACTCTTGGGGTTTATGTTGAGACAACTAATCCTTAGTTATGAAAAATTGTGAATTGATTTTTTGTTGGCGCTTTCTTTCTCTAACAAATTAATACTGCTGCTCAGTAAAAGGGAGCCGGTTATAAGATAGGGGGCTGCTTGAGGGCAATCAGCTCTGTCTAGAGTCGTCAAATGTCAGTCTCGACAATGCTGTATTATGTAACAAAGAAACGGCTGATTGTAAATACTGAGTTTTTTTGGCCCAAATGCTCGAGTGGATCTTCTTTTCACACCTCCGGGCTGTATCCAGTTCACCGTTCTCAAGGGCGTGCCAGCTCGAGCGTAATTGAGTCGCGGTTTACAAAAGAGGATAATAAACGTGTCAGCCGAAGCGGGCCCGCGCTCAGCCGAACGACAGGGCTTGGGTGTGTGCTTGAAGCGAGGCAGTATGCATTCCCTGTCTTTCCAACCAAATAAAGTAGCCTGGCCGCACGTACATTACTCAGGCCTGGGACACTGGGATCGTTTTATGTCTTCACAGCTTACAATACGCATGGTTTCTTATAATTATTAGGCTAAGCCTACATTATCATTATAATTACATTAGGCATATATCTGTTGATATTACCGATTTGTATTGGAGAAAAAAACATGCAGATAAAGAGGAAAAGGTATGCCTACTGTTTAAAAACGTGGTTGCATAAATTAGGCTAGAAAAAAATCGTCGAAGGAGACACAGTATAGCTTAACCTCACACCACCTCTTATTGTTGTATCTGTCCACCCCCACACCATAACAAATAAACAGTTATTGATAACCTTTTATGTATATAATTAGTATATTAATTATAGTTAACTATAATATCTGTTTGTGTCCTTTTTTTGAGATACCATTCTTGATCCATAGGCTATGCAAAGCAATTCACATACAGAATTACTATTATGTGGATATCACTGCTTTAGGTGTATGAGTGTGTAGGGGCCTACAGCTTCCTACTGGTTCTTTTGAGGCGGATTGTGTTGTGGCGACGAAAGAATCCGGTGTGTGTGAAAAGAGCTATGAAAGGAGTTATGACAACATACATGCATGATGTAACCTCAGCCCAATTATTCCCTGCACACCACTCCTACTTCCACGTCAAAGCTAATTATGATGATATTGCATATTGTCATCCCATTTTGTCCTGTTTTCTAAGGACGTTTATGGAAAGTTTGGTAACGGAGTAAATCAAATTGCATTAAACTGGGAGTTTTGAAAATGCCATGGACGTTTCATTCAGAAACATTACCAGCCTTATAGAATAGCCTACATTGGGGAATATTTACGCATGCATTTAAACAAAAAGTTTAAATGCATAGGCCTTAATATATACATTCATAAAAATATACATAAAAATCCTAGGCTAGCTATTATATATTTTTATTTTATTTAGGCTATATTTATATCTACATAGGTATCTTATATTGTTTGGTCTAAAAATAACCTAAGTTTTAGTTTTTAGTTTAAACGGTGTTTGTAGAGTGCATGGCAGTAATTCAATACACGTTCATATTATTCTTGTTTTAATATTTGTTTTTTAGCTAAATTATGGGCTTAGATAACAAAAAATCTGTTATAATGCCAAGATACCCTAAATATAGCCTATAAAGCCGATATCCAATAACATAATTTCACTGTGTTCTGTCATAATAATAATAATAATAATAAAATGCACCAATGTGTAAGTCGCTCTGGATAAGAGCGTCTGCTAAATGATGTAAATGTAATAATAATAATAATAATATAAAATGATTATTTCATCATCATTTTACTCTGTAACACAAACTTTTGAAATAGGCTATCCACATTTTAGAGATAAGATGAGACTCACCTGAGCACGACCGAGTTTTGCTTTTACATTTCGGGGTGAAGCTGGAGGATGATCCTCCGAGCAGGCTGCCAGGGTGGAAGAGACTTCCCCCGTAGTCATGCGCTGCTGGGAGAGAGTATGTGGGGTAGGTCGGTATGGGGTGGTGGGTGGAGGGGGTCTGTGCGCTCATTGAGGCCAGGCTGCTCCGGAGAGGACTGGAACCCTCCATCTTCATGCCGTCAGAAATTGACATTTGGTACTTGATAGACTCCTTCTCGTCCATTCTCGGGGTAGAGGATGAGGGAGAGGCGGCCCCGGGGTCTGGGGAGACATCTTTTGGCGGGGTAGGGGGAAAACTGTAGAGATGTGGACTCGAATGGGACGCGGGCGTTAATGAGGAGGCCGAGGCAGTGCTGGCGTTGTTGCTGCAGGGGTATAGGCCACCATGAGCCCCGGAGCCTGAGGCATGCAGCCCGGTCTTGCTGAAGTGGCTGACCGCCCATGCGTTATGATGGTGGGCCGCTGAGAGGGCTGCTTTGCCGGGCTCTAGCCATGAAATCCCCGGGCTATGGAGGAGATGTGGCCGGCAGACCTGACCCCCAGCGAAGCGAGCTGTAAGCAGAGTTGAATAATATGTTCATAGATGGAATACACAAACAGGCTAATAATGTTACAACTCTAATTGATGATGTGATGTCATAGGATTGCAGAAAGTTGGGACACCGAAGTCCTTCACCTGTTGACGCAGCGTGCTTAAAGGAATTATTCGATTCGTGAGGGGCACAAAATGCATTTGGCAGGTATTCAGACAAAACTACACTATAACTACAGAAATATTTTTTCTCTCGTTTTGAGTCATCTTGATACTTTATTGTCAATGATAACGATGTAACAAAGACATGGGGTCTGGTAAGTGCACTGGAGCCTCTTTCGCTTGACCCAAGCACAAATACATGACACCCTTTTAGCTATTTATTCTTCGATAGTTTCTCACTCCTTGTTTATTTGACTAGTTCTTCAGTCCAGAAAGTTACATTTATTTTACTTTAATTTCCTTATTTTTGTCATCAGCTGAATTGCTCTCATGTCCACAACATTTAATGGTCTCATTCACTTCCTAACATTTTTGTTATCCCATGCAAATGCAGCTTTATAGCATGCTCTCTATCAGACAATATTGCAAGTTCAACTATTACGCCTATCAAACCGATGTATTTCAACCCACCCACATTAATGCGTAAAGGAGCCTTCACGGATTTTTTATTGCTTTGAGAAAATACATGAATATGCCTACGATAATTCCTGCTTTATCCTGATAATTAAGTTGTTTAGGAAAGTGAATGAGGTCTTACCGTGAGCTTGACTGTAGGACACTCTGGCCCGTGCATGAGCGGAGTTGTGGTAGTACGGGTTTCCCTGCGAGTCAAGATGGTTAAAGAAAACATCCACCTCGTCCGGGGGCAGAAGTTGTGCGGTGGGCTCCATGTAGTTGTGCGAAAGGCCGGGGTGGTGAGAATCCGGGTGTTGGCCGTTCAGCACGGCGTGGTGGTGCATCCACCGAGGCGGATCAGCCGCTATATCCATGTCTGTGTGGGTCTCTCCGTGTTGGGCAAACAGGGTGAAAAGAGAAGAGGGGCCTCTCTAGGGAGAGGACAGCGTGTTCCTGAACCGTCCTCCGCTTTGTCTTTTATAAAACTAATCTCCCTCTCCTGAAAAAAATGTCCTGCTATTGTGGAAAACAAAACATAAATGTGTAGAGAATTTTCGCTCGTCAATCTCCTATACGTCGGTCCTCACTCGTAGTCCGATGAGATCCTCTTGTCTCTCTCCTTCTTCAACAGGCATCGGGGAGTGTTTGACACTGGACACCTGTAATACAACCAAAAATAGGATGTTCATATATCAGAGGCATTTACAAGGTGTTGCGTGGTTTTCTTTGTATGGCCGTCCAGTCCTAAGAGAATAATTCGGGGAGGCTGCTTCTTTTTAGGTGCGATTTGTAAGTCATGTATGTAAAGATGCAACATAAGATAAAGACCTCGAGTCACTCGTCCCCACCCACTCCCATTCCGAGGAACCTGAAATCACCGACCCATCCTCACCGTAACGCGCACAGATAAGGACTTTTGAAACCATGCATACTCGTCATAATAGGCTAGTAAACTAATCATCGTCAATAGCCCACTCAGAACAAACTGTTACATTTCTTACAGAGCGGAAGAAGTCATTTGTTTTCTTCACACAATTTGGGAAGAAAATAATATATATTTTATGCAAATACCTTGTCTGTCTCAGGCTTGGTTATTCCGATTTCAAGCCCCTTTGGTAGAATTCTCCTCCAGTTAGCAAATGTATTTTCCTTTCCTGTATTGACTCAACTTATACGGAATATGTTTGGTCTATTTTTCCTTGATTTTGGTGCAGGGTTATCGGCTGAGTAAACTCCGGTGGAGACGGATACGCCTTTAGCGACATGCAGCTGTAAGAACTGTCAGCACTGGCGCCAGTGAATTCCAAGTCATGCGCGCAGGGGCGGGGTCTTGACTTCAGCGTTGACCCCGAGACAGCCAATTGGATTCTGCCTTTGCCAATTCTGACAACTGCCTCGGCAGAATCACCATGCCATTCCCCTCTCCATCCCAGGCACCAGCCAGCGGACAGCCCTGGCCCCTGTATACTTGTCTCATCCCAGAACATATTAATCAACAGGGTCACCTTATTAGTTATGCAGCCCCGGGCCACCTCCCACACCATTTACCAGCATTTGTAATTTGAATCTGATAATTATCTGTACAAAACAGTTAATCTGATAATACTTGTGGAATATAAAAATAGTTGTTTGATATATGTTTTCCAGTTTCTTGAAATACTTTGCAAATGCAACTTATTTCAATGTGAAAACTGAAATTGTCTATTCATTCCTTTTCTATTTTAGTAGACACTCTTATCTAAAGCAACTTACAGTAGTGATTACATACATTTTCAGACTGGTTCCCATGGGAATCAAACCCACAACCCTTGCATTAGCAAGCGCCATACTCTACCAACTGAGCAACATCATCACATTACATCATCACAAACCACTTGATGTCTCAATGTACTCAATTACTGTATTGTGCATTGTTTTTCTTCATGGTGATGGAAAGTCTACAGGTACAAACCTAGATGACCAGCCTATGTACAATACAGTAATTACATTTACATTAAGTGGTTTGTAAGGATGGTAAATTAATACTGCACAAAAAGTGGTTGTTTTCCATGTTATTTGAACAAGACAAATATTGAATTTGATGTGGATGTTTTGTGTCTTTGCCCATAACTTTGCACCTTTTGATGTAAATGTTTGAGGACAGGGTTTTGTTCTTTCTGGATTCCATTAGAATGGCAATTGCAGAGAAAGGGGCGGGGCAACAACTCTTTAAATTCCAACTATTGAATCCTGCAAGATACTGTTATTAATTATACAACTACCTTTTCTGCCAAAGCGGAGATGCTGCCAAAAAATTTTTGCCACTGCTACAGACATCTATATGGTCCGCTAATCCTAGTAAAGTCACAGTGCACAACTTTAGTGTTTATTTTCTTCGTTTTTTTTGTGTGCGTGTGTGTGAGCAGTCTATAGGCGGTAGAGTGAATATGAACGACAGGGAATAATGTGAGGAGGGAGCTCGAGGCCCTGTCCCACCAACTAGCCGCCTATCTGATGCCGCTCCCGGACCTCACTGCATCTTTAGAGGAGAAAAAAATTATAATCAGAAAATGAACTTTTAATAAAAGGAGTATATGGAGATGGGGTAGCACGAGATCTGCTTAACTCCCAAAGGATAAATTCAAAGACACTCTATTGGGAGGACTGCAGTATTAATAATAATATGCCATTTAGCAGACGCTTTTATCCAAAGCGACTTACAGTCATGCGTGCATACATTTTTTTTTTTTGTGTATGGGTGGTCCCGGGGATCGAACCCACTACCTTGGCGTTACAAGCGCCGTGCTCTACCAGCTGAGCTACAGAGTCTACATGTCTACATAGATCCAGTGGCGACAGAAGACAGCGAGACTGAGATTGGGTCACACTAGCCCGACCAGGGATTTGATTTGACCACAGAGAACACTTTGGGTCTAATTTGAAACACAATCAATAAAGCAGAGAACTGCAGTCTGATGGACTATGGAGTGGACACAGCATGGGGGAGCACAACATAGCTGAAGAAAATATGTTTAATGCACTCTTGTTGTGAACATCATTCCTGGTGGTTGGATGGAGGTCAGAGTGGTATCATTAGTTCCCTCTCTCTACCTGTTATTGCAATGTTACAAGTAGCAGGCAGTAGACGCTGATTAGCCTATATAGCCAGAGATATAGTCATCAGAGTCTTCTCTGAGACATTGGCCTACTATGTTGATGACATTGTCACTACTAGACAATAGTTAGTTGTTTTTATGCTGTGCTGTAGCAAGGGTCTTGTGGGATGGGTGCCTTAGAGAAACAAAAAAGGCATTCAGAGTACCAGTAATCACACTGATAATTAGCAAATGTCTCGACGTGGATTTGCGCTGCTAACCTGTTTGTTCCTACCGCGCTCGATCGCTCTCCCATTGGCAAAGTGGGCGAGGACCAAAAGGTGGGCGCGCCGCAGATAAGGGGTTGACTTTACTGAGCGCCACCGTGTGAGCGCGCGCTGCGGAGAGACGGTCCCTAGTCATTGGTAATTAGCCTGGATAGAAGAGGCGAGAGGGCCAGAAGGTCCTGCACAACAGGGCCCAGTCAGTCTCCAGCCCAGCCACGGGAAGGTGGCTGCTGGGATCAGTAACATTATTTTGAATTGGGTTAACAATGAAAATACAACGTTTTCAACGTCAAAATAAATTATTTTTAGGCTATTATTATTATTATTATTATTATTGTATTATTATTATTATTATTATTATTATTATCATATAGACTATATATATAGCCTACTATACTATTGTTATGTTATTATTATTGTTTCATCATTGTTTTATTGTTATAAAGCAATCATAATATAGGATCGTTTTCAGAAATTAGGCCTATCTATTATTGCCAATTATATGCTACAAATAGGCTACTATAATGACGATAGGCCTGCTGAATTGGAAATAGAATGGTGAGCATTCTGCTCTAGGCAGCTTTTAGCCAATAGCGCCCCTCATGCTTTCGATGCAGGATTTACGCTCACCCTCACCATTCCTCAATTAAAGACTTTGCATTTGATAACGCTAGGCTACTATAATATCTGTTCGCAGATGTCCAGTGAAAATAAAGCACAATTTCTCAATTAAATTGTTCTATTTTTTTCTGTGTGCTAGAATGAACAAATGCCACATGCAAAGTAGGCTACAAATACGAATATGCTTTGGAAAAAGTTGAATATGCTCTCAGTAACATGTCTTGCAAAAATAAAACGGCATATCCAATACATGGCAGATTTTCAAATAGGCTACGTCTTGACAATACTTGGCGCCTACTCTGTGGTGTGTGACACACAACTAGGCTACTGTCCATTCAGAGCAATGCGCAGTGCTTGACTTGGACTGAAATAGGTTCCGGTACTCATTTTGGGTGCCGGTAATGTTTATATTTAGGTGCAGGAGCTCCACAATACTTTTGAGCTAATATTCTATAAGAGGAACAGGAGCTCAAGCAGTAAAACAAAATTGAGGTGCCGGTACTCAGCTCGGGTGAGCTCCTGCCCAAGTCAAGCACTGTCAATGCGCAAGACAGCGGAGGATAACAGAACGGACATGCAGTTCGGCAATGCGGGGATTGGATTCTCCTTTCCTCAAGTGCAACGGCGTCTCTCACTATCGTCTGTGACTGCGGTTAGAACCGTTAAATTCTCTCTTTTTCCAATGAGACGCGAAGCTGGATTTCAGGTATTTTGAAAGTAATAGCCTATAACAATGCGTCAGATAAGATTGAAATATCACTCTCCCTACTTCACCCCTATACTCTCTGTCTTCTGGGTCAGGGTAGGCTATGTGACAGGGCGAAGCTGGAAAACAGGCTGCACTATGAGGGATAGCGAGGTGGATTACAAAGGCGCGAATCCCTGTTGTGATTGAGCCAACCCTGGGCGCCCGTGGAGTAGGCTACAGCTGTCAGAGCGCGACTGGCACGGATGGCGGAGTCGTATTTTACAGGCACGAGACACGCAAGAGCTTAAAAGCAAGAAGGACAACCGGCAGATAGACCGTTAGCTAGGCTTATCTCTTGGCTATCAGAACCATATACCTGACAGTATTTAGATTAATGTATCTCCTCATTTTACTGTTGCCTATGGATGGACGAGACAGAACTTTGACTGGCGAGATCTCGCATTTAAATAAGAAATATGTTAAATTAACAAATTCTGCCCACTCCAGTGGTGCACACGATCTTGCCTTAATAGTTTACACGATTAACTTTTGTATTTAAACATTGAAGTTACTCCCCCTCCTTGGCTATTGTGATTATAAATATACCCTTTACTCCTCCATTCATCTCCTTCACACATACACTTCACATTATGGAAAATAGCCTAGGCCTACTACATGCTAAGCCCTTGCAAAGCTGCCTAACAAGACCATGGGCTCGTGGTGCCGCAGCCGGCAGGTGCTTGAGAGCACGGGCTCAGGGTCTCGTGCCCACGTCCCCCCAGGTTCAAAGGGTAACTAACACACACACACACACACACACACACACAAAAGACTAATCGAGAAACAAAAACGTTAACGGAATTAAATGCACAGGTTTCAGAATAAGACAATACAAATCTATTGGGGGAAAAGGTGACCGCTCTCAATTGCCTAAAGGTTGGATGGAGTTGGATCTGAGATGCATGACCATTGCAAAAGAGAATGCTATTCAGAATAATTGAGAATGTTGAAATTTGGTTAATAAATTAGCATATGATAGACACTAGCCAAATAACCATTGCATAATGTTGCCTGTGTATGATGCCTTTCTTCATTTCTCTTACTCGTGCTCCTCCTCAGAATCGAGAGAGAGAGAAAACGTTGCTAAGGTCCTCTGTTGCTATGTGGCAGCAATCTCTCGCAGTCCGGGCACATTGTGCCAGTTGTGTAGCCTATTTATGAGAATAATGACACCGCTCGTCCTTTCGTCTTCATTTGCGTCATTACAATATGTGTACAAGCGCGTGGCATTGTGCCTTTACTGCTTATTTTGTACACCGCCCCTGTCCCTGCGTCTTGACTTTCATTTCAAACGAAAAGGGAGCCCATTTCAGCCGTTCCACTTTCAAAGAATATCGGAGCACGACAGGGCATGCAGCCTTTATTTGTTAGCATGATTATCTGAACAATTGGCTAATAATAAGGATGAAGATTATTATTATTATTATTATTTTTATGTTGAGGTATTATAATCGGGAATAGCCTAATGATAATAGTGTGATAATACATTGATAATAATAAGGATAAATGGCCTATGCATGTCATATTTTCATTAGGCCTATAGATACATTATT